CCTGAAAGTCTATTTTGGAGCAGTGACACTCTAAGTATTGTCCATTGCTGAACGGTTTCTGTTCTATAATAAAATAAGAATGAAAATGGAGAATGTGTGTCTAGAAACTTTTATTTGACATAGTGATTTTATTTTGGTTGAATCAAAAAATGTGTACTTGCATTTTCTATGTCATTTTTTTCATTTATTTTTTCTGAAAATTGATTTTTACTTTATTTTATGAAAGTACCAGTCTGTAACAGATTTGAAAATTAAAAAAAAAAAAAAAAAAAAAAAAAAAACCCAGAAGAGGGGGAAAAAGTGGTGTAATAGCTACATCACTGGACTCTCACATAGTCCACCACAGTTCGAGTCCCAGACCCAGCAGCTTAAACTCAGGCCAGGTGTGTGTATGTGTATGCCTGCCCAAAATCATGAGAGGAGAATAGAGGAGAAGGGATTGTGGTATGGCCATCTTCCCTGGGGCATAATTTCTTGCTTTCTGTTTTTGTGCCCTATAGCAAAAACCTCTCCAAAAACAAACAACAACAACAACAAAAATTAAAAAAAAAAAAAAGAAAAAGATAAAACCTCTTGTCCTTTTCCATAGAAAATTTAAGAAGCATTGTCACAGGGTAATAAGGATCCTTAGCTGGTCAAGGGAAAAGACACCAAAGAGAATGAGTGGGAAAGAGGGGAGAGAAGAAGATGACCTGATGGACACTAGTTCTTGAAAACTAGGTGATTCTTTCACACAGCGGATGAGGAATTAACAGGACCCTTTCAGCTACTCTCTGAATTACCAGAAAAAAATCCCCAAACAAAAATGATTTAAGATATACTTAAAAAGAAACACCACAGTGTAAGTGAGGTCAGTGAGGACCACAACCACTTCCTTTTCCTGCTTTGAGTCACCCCAGCTCTGCAGTTACTCTTCTCACCTTTCTCCTCCCCCTCTTTTTTTTTTCCTCAAGGATCTTAGCAATTCCCATCTGACTTTAAAGATTGATTTAGCAAGAGAATCCCAGAATACTGCACGTTTACTATTAGAAGGTCCCCTAAGGTCTTTTCGATTCAAATGGAAAAGCTGAGACTCAGAAAGGAAAAGTGACCCCTCTAAGGTCACCTGAACTGTCACCAGCAGAGACTCCTGGTGGTTTTACACCTTGGTAAAAGGGAGATGAGTGAGTTTTAATGTAAATATCTCCACCATTTATTTAACCAGATTTATATCCAGTTAGGTTAATGAGGAAATATGCAGGGCCACTGAATTGTAAACTCCTAGGGGACACCGGTCAGAGTGATCTATGTACTGAAGCTGTTCAACACAGCAGGCAGGTAAGAAGAAGGAAGACTGTCATCTGTTTACACGTTTATGTTAGGCTTTTAGGATACACATCTGATTAAATGTATCTATATTAATAGGGAGGAGAAATAACACCACTGAGCTGCTAAGACATACTAAGTACAGTCGTATGTTGCTTAATGATGAGGTATGTTCGAAGAAATGCATCATTAGGTGATTTTGTTGTATTTTTTTCCCCTCTTAAATCCACCAGAACACAATCATAGGGGCCCTGCCTCAGTGACCTCATCATGCCAGATATAAAGGTCCCTCCCAGGGACATGATGAAGGGATTAAGTTCTCATTTAATGCCTTTATAGTACAACCAAGTCCCAATGCATGAATTGTGGGAGACAACAAAATTACAGTAGTCACTATATCAAATCAATTGTTTTTCATTTAAAAATTGAATAAAGAAATTTTAAAAGATACAAAAAATGGAAATATAGCACTTACTCATGGATTGAAAGAATTAATATAATTAAAATGTCACACTTCCCAAAGTGATCTACCAATTCAATGTAATTTTTATCAAACTATCAGTGATGTTCTTCACAGAAATAGAAAAAAAAAAACAACCCTAAAATTTGCCTGTAATTGCAAGAAACCTCATATCGCTGAATTAATACTGTACAAAAAGAATAAATTTGGAAGCATCTCAATACCTGCGTTCAAAACATACTATGAAAGTGGGCTAGCAGGTGGTGTGGAGGTTAAGGTATCTGGATCCCATTCAGCTAACTGCATGGTTCAAGTCCTGGACCCAGCAGCTTTAAAATCATGCTCTGTGTGTGTGTGTGTGTGTGTGTGTGTGTGTGTGTATGTCCAAAATCCTGAGAGGAGAATGGAGAAGGGATTGCAGTGTGGCCATTCCTGCAGGGGGTGATTTCTCACTTTTCCTCTCTCTTTCTCTTTCTGTCTGTCTCTCTCCAGTGAGTACACACACCCTATAGTAAACTGAAAAATAAAAAAAGAACTACAAAGGCATAATCTAACCAAAACAGAAAAACAGCATGGTACAGATGCATAGACCAATGGAACAGAATAGAGAATCCAAAACTAAACCCAACAGTATACAGTCAACCGCTTTTGACAAAGTTCGCAAGACGAGGGACCAGCAGTTAGCGTAATGGCTATGTTGCTGGACTCCCACGTAGTCAACTGCAGTTCAAGTCCCGGACCTGGTGGCTTAAACTTATGCCGGGCACGTGTGCATGCATGCCCAAGATCCCGAGAGGAGAATGGAGGAGAAGGGATTGTGGCATGGCCATCTCCCCCTGAGGGGTGATTTCTCACTTTCTGTCTCTCTGTCTCTCTGTCTTTCTGGCGAGCACACGCGCCCTATAGCAAAACAAAACAAAACAAAACAAAACAAACAAACAAAAAAAACCTCTCCAAAAAGAAAAAAGTTTGCAAGACGATTCAGTAGAGAAAAGACAATCTTCTCAACAAACAGTGCTGGGAAAACTGGATAGCCAAATACAGTACAGTGAAGCTAGACCCCTGTGTCTCACCATTTACAATAATTAATTCAAAATTAACTACTTAAACATATTAAGTTAAAGACTTCAACATAAAGTCTAAAACTATTAAACAACGTGAGGGAGCCAGCAGGTGGCATGGTGGTTAAGAAAATGGACTCCCACATGGGCAACAGTGGTTCGTGCCCAGACCCAATAGCTTGAAAATCACCTTGTATGTGTACGTGCAGGCCCAAAATCCTATAAGGAGAATGGAGGAAAAGTGATTGCAGTGTGGCCATTCCCCCGGGGGGTGATTTCTCACTTTCCCTCTCACTGTCTCTGCCTCTCTCCAACGAGCATATACACCCTATGGCAAAAACCTAAAAATGTAAAAAAAACAAAAATAACTTGGAGAAAATACTTTAAGATATTGGAGTAGACAAAGATTTCTTCAATAAGACCCCTAAAGCTTAGGCAACAGTACCTAAAATAGCCAAGCAGGATTATAGCAAGCTAATGTCTCTAATGTCTCTCTCTATCTGGCGAGTGCACATGCCCTATAGCGAAAATCTCTCAAAAAATAAAAAAGTAGAACTAGTAGACTATTATTGAACATGAACAGCATAATGTAATATTTTACATCAAATAAGATGAATATTTCTATATTCTTGATTTGATTATTGCATACTATATGTATGACTGAAAAACCATACTGTACACCACAAAGATGTGCAACAATGATATGTAAACCAGAAGTCACAATTCTAAAAAAAGGAAAGAAGGAAAGAGGAAAGAAAGGCAAGGCAAGGCAAGGCGAGAAAAGGAAAGGAGAGAAAAGGAAAGAGGAAAGGAGCAACTCTTCCTGAACAATTCTGTTCTTTTTTTTTTTGGGGGGGGGTCATTCCAACTAATTCCAGAAAAGCTTAATTTGTTGAAGAGTAATATTTATTATAGCTATTTAATTCAAATTCTGTATGTCTGATTAAATAACAATGCATAGTACTAAATATTACCCACTTGCATAGTTTTCATAGTGTGTTGATTGTGCTATGTTGTGATCTACTGACACTGTTAAATGAGAGAAACTGAGGCGCTATAATCATTTTTTTTTTTAAGAGAGATTTTTGCTATAGGGCATGCGCACAAGACAGAGAGACAGAAAGTGTGAAATCATCCTCCAGGGAGGATGGCCATGCCACAATCCCTTCTCTATTCTCCTCTCAGGATTTTGGGAACACACACACACACACACACACACACACACACACACAAGCCCGGCATGAGTTTCAAGCCACTGGGTCCAGGACTCAAACTGCAGTTGACTATGTAAGAGTGCACAACAGTTATGCCATCTGCTGGTCCCTGAGGGTCTATAATCTTAAAGACTCCTACACATCATTGCTAAAGTAGTTTTTATCTACTAGTTTTCCAAGTGTCATATATCTTCATATTACCACTCATGGGCTCTCACTACTGTCAAAAGAAGCTAAGTGAAAAACTGTTTTAAAAACTTAACAGATACAAGATTGTAAAGTTCTCCATTGAAAATGATATATAAGGTAATATCCTTAATTTGGTTGTCACACACTGCATGCATACTTTGAAAAACCATGTTATGTGCAACAGAAATGTATACAAACCAAATGTGAATAAGAAATCATCAAATAAAAAATTAATTTGGTCTAGGTATGGGAGCTGACCTTGTCCTCTTTTTAAAGCATTTATTCTGAAATCTTCACTTTCATATTTTACTAAATCCTTCTCCACCCATCTGAATTCTCCCACCTAACATTCTAAACAGTTATATGTAACCAAAGAGATAAGTGATAGATCCAGATAGATGAGAAATACAACCTCAGCATTGGAGCTACTTTCTCTCTAATCTCTCATGCCTGCAGAAGGAAGGGTGGCAGTTAATACAACACACCCACCTGAGGAAGAAGCAGAATAGCTAGATATAAAAGGCAGATAACAGGGTTGGGGGTCGTGGGGGATAAAAGAAGAGACACAAAATAGAAATACACAATGACACACTCAGACACATGAAGGCAGACCCTAGGGGAAACACACACACACACACACACACGCACACACACAATTTGAAATGAACTATGCTCTCTTTTTTTCTTCCTCATCCTCCCGCCAAGTCTCTGTGTTTTCTCTGGACTCTTCCCACAGCCCCACTTCCTTTTCCTCAGTCCTTTGACACCTACTTGATGTGCTCTGTGCGTCCCGAGCCCTCGATGGTCTTGGCTCCCCATCGTTGCTCCTTCTCAGAGATGTCATTCTGGAAAAGACAGTACTCAGCAATAAATTATGGCAAAGCTGCCACATTGAGAGGGCCACATGCAGACATACCTGCCCTCCAGGTCCCCTGGAGCAGCTGCCTTGCTCAGTCAGAGTTTCACTCATACTCCTCTCAGTGTTGGCCCCACTCTAGCCCCACATAAAAATTTAACTGGAGAGCTCTGAAGCCTCCCTTCCTCCTCTGCATTCTTCACACTCCCCCCCCCCATGTCTCCTACAACTTCTCAATCTCACCAAATTACACATACCCACCCAAATCCTGCATCATAAGCCAAAGGTTACCCGGTTCACCTGCTTTTAACCTTCAGTATAGTTTATGATAGACTGTCAATCACACTGTCAACTCCCTCAACACTATCTTGCATGCCCCCTCATGACAGCCAACTGTCATTCCAATCAGTCCCACATGGAGAGCTATCTCAGTCCCATACCGTCTTTTCCAAAACCTCCTCAAAGGTCACAGATGGCCCATATGCACTCCCCCAACAGTCACCTCTTTCTTCATTGTCCAAGGAAAGCTATTTTCAACTCACCACAAAGTCAGGATCTGTGTCCCAGTCATCACCCTGGGTTTCCACGGAAACAGATACATCATGTCCCACTACAGATTTCCACATCTAAGAGTAACAGAAAATGGGAATAAGTAGAGACAACAACAACACAAAAATCAAGGCCTAGCTCTGGTGGCACAGCAGTGGCATGACAGTCAGCACTGTTGGAAGCCATGTGGAGGACTAAGACTTGGTTCTCTGATTCACTTATAGATGCCAGGCACGCATGTCCTATGATCCTGGCTGGCCAGAAGAGCTTGGAGGAGGATCAAGAGAGAGAACCTGTTGAGGGTGCTTGTCCTTCTCTCTTTCTGTGTATGTGTGTGTCTCTCATTAAAAAAAAACATAAGCTTAAAAAAAGAGAAGAAGAATCATGAGTAGGGAAAACAAGAATGTGATTTTTTTTATTTAGAAGAAAACAGAAGCTGAGGCAAATTAGACAGGATTTTTGGGAAAGTACTTCTGCTCAATCCGAGTAGGAGGGGATGGGGTTTATTTAGAACAAACCGATATGGCCTGGGGCCAATGGAGTCTGGAGAGAAATCTTTGTGGAAGTAGGAACACTAAATAACCTAGGGTCGACTGCTAGGACCACTCCCTCATGCCCAGAGGCCAGCCAGGCCGTGGTATGAAGTGATGATCAGTGAGAGGTGCCATATCATCTCAAGAGCTATGTACCATCTCACTCACTTTTATATATGGCTCCTTTTATAACTATCAAAATATAAATTGGTCCAGCTCCTGACAAAGTGAACATCTCTGTTTCTGTCAACAACCTGCTTAACTATGGTGAGAATTTTTCCAACCATTACTACAAGTGCGGTCCCACTCCCACTCCCACTCAGACCAGCCACTGTGCAGCTGTGAGCAGGCCTTAGGATCTGCTGAAATTTCTGCAGTGAACAATGTGTAGAGAAGCATTACTTGCTGGGAATAAATAACTTACTACCAAAAAAAAAAAATTTAAGAATTATTTATTTCATTTTATTATTATTCTTTTTCGATTTGACAAGAGAGAGACAGACAGAGAGAGAAAGCATGCCACCAAGTCCAGGACTCAAACCAAGGTCGGCCATGTGGGTGTCCAAGTGCCTCAATCCCCGTGCTGCTTGCCAACCAATCCCACTACTCAATTTTTTTTGGAGAGGTTTTTTGTTTGTTTGTTTGTTTGTTTGCTATAGGGCGAGTGCGCTCGCCAGACAGACAGAGAGAGACAGAGAGACAGAAAGCAAGAAATCACCCCCCAGGGGGGATGGTCACGCCACAATCCCTTCTCCTCCATTCTCCTCTCAGGATCTTGGGCACGCATGCACACGCGCCTGGCGTGAGTTTAAGCCACCGGGTCCGGGATGAAAACCGCGGTCAACTACGTGGGAGTCCAGCAACATAGCCATTACTCTAACTGCTGGTCCCCCACTACTCAATTTTATTTTTTTGGGGGGGAGAGATTTTCGCTATAGAGTGCGTGCACTCGCCAGACAGAAAGAGAGAGACATAGAGACAGAAAGCGAGAAATCACCCCCCATGGGGGACGGTCACACCGCAATCCCTTCTCCTCCATTCTCCTCTCAGGATCTTGGGCGCGCACGCACACGCACCCCGCGTGAGATTTAAGCCACCGGGTCCGGGACACGAACCATGGTCGACTACATGGGAGTCCAGCAACATAGCCATTATGCTAACTGCTGGTTCCCCCCAACTACTCAATTTTTAAAAACAGTTCAATTATATATCCAAAGAAGGTAAGTAGTTCAAAAATCAGCCTGTACTACATCCCTCATTTTCAGTATTAAGAGGTACCCAAGGGACAAGCAGATGGTGTAATGTTACATTGCTGGACTCCCACATAGTCGACCGCAGTTTGGGTCCCAGACCTGGTCCACCATGGTTTGGATCCCAGACCCAGTGACTTAAACCTCACTCCAGGAACGTATACATGCGTGCCCAGGATCCCAAGAGGAGAATGGAGGAGAGGGGATTGTGGGGGTAAATTCTTGCTCTCTGTCTCTCTGTCTCTCTGGCAAGTACACATGCCCTATAGCAAAAAATCTCTCAAAAAAAAAAAAAAAGGAGGTATCTATTTTTATCAACTGAATACTAAGCCACTCATTTGGAAGGATGCCAAATGTTATTCTTGGCATCTGCAATGTCCCAGTGGGCCGTACCACTTGTACCTGAGGAAGAACTGCATGGTAGGTCAGCGTCTGTGGCATCCTGGATTGCGGTGTGAAGAGGTGACAACCCAAAATGCACATTTGCTGTGGAGGCCACTGTGACTTACGGACCTTGGGGCACACTTGCTACCTGGCAACATCCATATCCGTCTATCCCTGCTCAGACACCTCATCCCATCGGAGACATTTTCCCATGCTCCTCCTTGTCTCCTTTTACAGCCACTTCAAGGGCTTTCCTGTTTCTTCACCTAGGCTCTCAGATCATCTGGCTTTCTATTTCCATCCTTCTCTGTGCTTTTTGGACCACCCCTTAAAAACTAGACCAGAGAAAATTTGGGGTAAGTTTAACGAGATGCTGAGAGGACACTGGAGAATTACCAACTGGAGCCTAAATGTAGGTGAGTCAGTGCCCAGGGCAGCTCTGCCTTCCCCACTGCGGCAATAGCTATGGGTGGGGGCAGATAAACGAGCCCTGGAATCCTGCATCCTCACCACCTGTCTGTTTCTCACACCCTGGCTCCTGGACTATGCCTCAAAAAAAAAAAAAAAACACTTCACAACAGCACTGCAAAGGAGAAGTTTCTGAGATACTCATGAGCAATAAGGAAGCAGTGAGGACTGATGGTCCCATCCTCTTTCTTGAGGCCTCAACCTGACTCTCCCATAAATCTCCCACCTTTCCCCATGTTTGAAATAAGGATGAGTTTGGACACAGAGACTTAGTATCCCTAACTAAAGGCAGGAGGTGCTTTCTAGAAGTGGCAGACAGAGAGGACCCTGGTGAGGCACGGTGCCCAGGATGGCAGGCACAGTCTAGGACCTCATCATGAGACTGACTTACCACATGAATAAAGTATGCGGGGAAGCACAAGGCCTGGTGACCCTGAGCCTCTGTGGGCCCATGGTAAGGGAATCGACATGGAGAATGGTCTCATTTGCCAAGTATCAAGCTGCCATTCGCAAATACAATGTGGCCACTCACTGATTCTGACTTCCTATGACGAAGAGTAAACGAAGGGCTTAACCAAGCTCATCTAGAAAGTCCTCTCCATTTCTGAATTCTGGGATTCTGTGATCCTACAGTCATACCAACTCGTCCCGGCCGAATAATCCATGCCTTCACTCGGCCTCCCTCAGCACCTGGTTCTCAGCCCTGGTGTACACGGCGACTACTTCCTGATCTGTTCCATTTCCTATATGGGATTGTCTTCCTTCTAGACCACACATTCTTCAAGGGCAGATTTTGTCTTCAACTCCTGTTGTCCTACCCTCCCACCCCCGATTTAGTGCCTGGTGCCTCAGAGGCCCCTGAGTGGGTTGTAGGTTCTCAGCAGAAATCAGGGAAGACTTTGCTTGGTCTGGGGTGCTAGATGGCTGCTCAATCATACTCCCTGGGCTTCAGCCCCACCCTTCTACTTCCATCCTCAGATGCTCATTCTCCAGGGCCACTCAAACCTAGGCCTTTTGGCCATAAAGGTGAAAATATTTCTAGTAGTGACCTTGTCCCTCACCAAGCCCTAGAGCCAGATAGGTTCCTCTCCAGCTCCTGAGCCATGCTCCCCAGGTCTCCCACCGCTCAGAGTACCCACCTCCTCTAGCGTGAGTCTCTGCTCTAAGTTCCCGGCTCCTCACGTCCACACTCGACTTCCTCCTCTGGCTGCTGCCACTTGAGAACAAAAAACTCTTGAGCTGCTGCTCCAGTTCCGTATTCAGGTTTTCTGTCATTTCCTGTCACCCTGTCCTCACAGCTACTTCCTGGGGTTTGAGTCAGTTCCTTCTGCTTTAACATGTAAATAAAAAAGGATTCAATGTTTCTGTGCCTAGTCTTCTACAAGGTTTTAGGGGTTTGAGGGCAGTCATAACAATGCCGTTCCTTCTCTGAGTTTGTCATCTAGTCAGAGAAACATTCAACTGGGGAACACAGTAGAGAATGCTGTAGAACAGCATCTGTGGCCTTAACAGGTGGGTAGTTGCAAGTGTGATAATAAAGGAATTGTATTTGCTATGGGTTGCAGTCATCAAGAAAGACCTGATGGAAAAAGTGATTTGTATGTGGATTTTGAAGGATAAGATTTAAAAACAAACTCACTTCTACATTCCCCACAGCACTTAAAAGAGTGATTTGCAGGCCAGCAGGTGGTGTGGGAGGTCAAGACACTGAATCCCACATGGCCGACTACGTGGTTCAAGTCCTAGACCTGGCAGCTTGAAAATCATACTGGGCACATGTGTGTGCATGCCCAAAGAGGACACTGGAAGAGAAGGGAATGCAGCGTGGTCACGCCCCCGAGGGGTGATTTCTCACTTTCCCTCCCTCTGGAGAGCCATGTCCTTGAGTACAAAAAGAGATTTTGCATATAAATGTTTAAATAAACATTGATCAATGGTGGAATGATGAAGGGAATAATTCATGAGGGGAAAAGGAAGACAAAGACAAAGATTGTACCTTGTGTGGAGCAGAGCAGAGTCTGAGCTAACTGGTGGAAAGATTGTTTCAGATAATATAATCCTCAAAGAACCACGTGGTACCAGCAGATGGAAGATCTTTGTGGTATCATTACTGTTCATCAGGATTTGCTGCCCCTTTCTCCCCTCTTGAAATCAGACTTGTTCAGTTGACTTGTTTAACTGTTGACCAAAGGTATCTTTTGACAAGAGGTATCTTTTTCTGGTGGAGACTTTAAGACCTCTGCCAGCTTTGTGATGCATTTTTGCTCACTGTCCACCAAAGCAATCTACAAACTTTCCAGTGGTTCCCCTGGCAGTCTGACCTGAGTGTCAGAATGCTAGTATGAGTGGAGCTCCACCCTTCATGAGAAGGACTTTTAGTCTTGACCTAAAAAACTTGCTGCATTAACTCCTGAGACTTTGGTGTGTTATTGCAGCTAGCCTAGCCTCTCCTTGATGGTCTGTGGAGTCCTGATCTGACTTGCTCAGTTGTGGATTCCCCAAGCAGTTGAAGCAGGACTGAATGAAAATGACCCAAAATACAGAGCAGAGAATTCTGCATTAGAAATAGAAAGTCTCTGGGGACCAGCAGGTGGCATGGTGGTTAAGACGCTGGACACTCCCACATGGCTGACCACAGTTCCAGTCCTGGACCTGGTGGCTTGCTTTCTCTCATTCTCTTTTTTTCTGTGTCTCTCTCTGGTCAAATTAAAATAAATGAATGAATAAATAAAATTTTAAAAAGAATTATTTAAAAAAAAAAAGAAAGAAAGAAATAGAAAGCCTCTGAGGTCACTTCCAAATCTAAGGATTCTATGCCTAGGGGAGATTTCCTTTTTCTCCTACTTCATGACCTATGCAGCATGGTGACACCAAAGTTATTTTAAAGAGTAAATCTACAGAAGGGAGAAAATATTTTAGATTTGGAATCCTGACTGTCAAATTAGGATTATCAGACCAGATATTGTGACACACTACCCATATATTGGGTCATCAGAAAAGTTATGACATTTTTCTATGCAAAAAATACATCATGACTTTTCAGCTGACAATAATAAGATTGTGTTTGGCCTATGCAAATTTTCAAGTCAGTTTTTTTTCTCTCTTGGGTCTGGGGAGTGATCCTAAATGAGCAGGCACTCAAACATGTAAATCTGATGTCACTTCCTTGCTCCAAAGTCTTCAATGGTTTTGCCTGTAGATCAGAGCACATCTTTTAGCATGACACGCAAGTGCTGGATCTGACCCTTCCTACATTTCCAGCATCTCTTCTCTGTAGTAATACCAATACCATTTGTGGAGTTAGGTGAACCGTGCACTTTCCAGCATGGAGAGTAGCTTGTCAGGTCCTGGCATCTGTATGACTCACTAAGTATGCCCTGAATGGATGCAGTGCCTGTTAGGTGCTGCTCCCTTTTCCTGGAATGTTTTCTTCTCACAAAATCCTACATGTCCTTGAAAACCTTTCTCAAGTTTCATCTTTGTCATTTCTTATTGCTCGCTGCACAGTTAATTATTGCCCAAACTGTACTTACTTCATACCTAATTCATCCTGTGATTATGTTAACTTGATTGAATATAATTTTTTGTCTACAGGAATTATCTGCCTCCCCTGCTAGATTATTCAGCAAGTATATATTGAATTTAATGGAAGGAGGAAGCAGGAAAGTAGGGTAATAAAAGTGCCCTAAAGGTATCCTGCAGGAGAGTGAGAAATAGAGTGAGAGCGAATTTATTGCCCAAATACATAGTTCTCTAGAAAACTCATTGACCTTTATCAGAGATCACACACACGCACACACACACAACACTCCCCTCTCCTTAGCCAAGGTACCAAGTTCATTCCTGATGAAGGAGTGATGTGTGGTACACAGAAATAGCCTGTGCTTTGAAGCCAGAAAGACTGGGCTCAATTGAACCATTTTTGTATTTGAGGTGAGCCAGCTTTTCCTAAGCAACAATGTAATAGAAAAACAATGAGTCTATTCCACCTACTTTACTCTATTATTAAACTTTTCTTCCCGGGTTTCCACCCAGGAGGAGTCCTATACATGATTCAATGTGTACCAGATGAGCGTTCTCCCAGGACCATACAAGGCCCTGTGTGAGTTGCATGTACCAAGGCCAGGCCAGCTTGTTTGATTCAGTCAGTCAATGTTTTCCAGATGAGTGTTCTCCCAGGACCATACAAGGCCAGGCCAGCTTGTTTGATTCAGTCAGGGTAGAACTTCCTTAGCATCCTGAGGCCCAGCAGCTAAGGCCAGAAGGATGCAGGCCACTGTTACTGATGTTGGCCGGTGAGGAGAAAGCCCGAGTATGTAGAGCTTTCTAACCCTGGAACCATTCCTGGCCACCCCATCTCTACCTGGCCCCAATGCCTTCTGTCCACCCCTTCCCCAATCCCACATGGAAACAAAACCTTCCCTGTATGTCAGCACCTGTATCCATAAACATTACACACACATACCACGATGCTTCATTCTGAAAATAATTTTATTATTTTACAGTTGTTCAGGAAAGATCCCAGAATGCTGTGACCAAGACTGAATCACCACAGAATAAGGATTTAGAGCAGATCAGTCAGTCCACCAGGCTTCTCTCTCTTTTGGGTGGTGAGAACAGGCTGTGAACAACATCATGTGTATAAGAAAATAACCAACTGAAAAGGGTAGAGGAGGGGCGAGGAAGCAGAACAGGCACAAAGGGAATTCAGTCCTGCCTGTCAGTGCCTGGTCTACATTTAAGTATTTCACATTCTCTTTCCATTTGACTGAGCTTTCTGCTATCACAGAGGCAGGTGGCCATGGGGCTGAACTGGAGTAACTGTCACCACCAGCATGTCAGTTTAGTACTTCAAGAAGCTAGATACTGCAGTATGGTTGTCAGAGTAGTCAGACCCCTTGCTGAGAGTTGATGCCTCACCTAGAATTGGTATCTGCTGGCCTCTGGACATTCTCAGGGCCGACATTTGAGTCATATCCAGCTAATATAGGAATGGCAAGAATCTGAACGCTGTTATCTAAAGCCCGTTCTTTTGGTCTTTCAGTGAAAGGAAAGGAATGGGACACTTAATACCTCAGGATACTTATGACCAAGGCATAAGCAGTGGGATTGCACCCAGTCCAGGACAGTGAATTCTCACTCCAATTATGTCTAAACACACGAGGAAGATGCTGTCTTCCCCTGTGATCCAATAGCTAAGAACCCCTAGGGAGTTCTTCAGCTCCTACCTTATTGTGCAAGAGGCCTAATTAGACATCGTATGAAGTGATGTGTTCATTCCCCAGAACTTTGTTCATGGCAGGCTACCTCCACTTGAAGCAGAAGAAAATACAAGCCAAGAAGGCAAAAGAAATGATCATTCGATGGCCAGTTGTTATGGTGCAGTGCTTCATGATGCTGAGGTCACATGGCCTGTTTGCACCCAAGGTCTCCGTGAACCCACCATGTATGCACATAGCCCGTGGTCCTGGTTGGCTGAGGCTGGAGTGGATCATAGAGTGGGGTTCCTATTGAGGTTGTCTACTCTTTCACGGAAGAAATAAATAAAAAAAGGAAGGAAGTTATCAATCAAAATGATACTAGACTTCAGATTATTAGGTCTGTCAGAACCATCCTCCTGGCTTGGTTGAAAGAAATTCCGCAGTATCTTTTAGAGGCCCACAAAAAGATCAGGGTCCTGGGAACCAGCAGTTAGCATGATGGCTATGTCGCTGGACTCCCACGTAGTTGACTGTGGTTTGCGTCCTGGACCCGGTGGCTTAAAACTCACGCTGGGCACGTGTACGTGCGTGCCCAAGATCCCAAGAGGAGAATGGAGGAGAAGGGATTGCGGCGTGACCATCCCCCCTAGGGGGTGATTTCTCACTTTCTGTCTCTATGTCTCTCTCTGTCTGTCTGGCGAGCGCACACGCCCTATAGCAGAAACCTCTCCAAAAAAGATCAGGGTCCTGAAAAATCTGAACAAAATATGGCACCAACAAACCAACTGTGAGGCTTCTGAGATTAAGTAGTGTCCAGGACCTGGGCAGTAGAAGACAGTAGAGTCTGGTCCAGCCTGTGCTCATATCTACCTGTTTTTGCAGGCACTTTCTGTAGAGAGTTGGAGAAATGACCTGTAAGCAGCAAGACCAATGGGATTGATAGCTCTGATGTTAGAGGTGAGGGAAGTTCAAGTTCTGAGGGAAATGGCCCAAAAAGTGACAACTCAGTTTATAGATGGCCCGTGAAACACAGAACGAGGAGGACATGGACCATCAGAAAGTAGACGGCTGCAAGCAGTGGCACTCGGGTTCGCGAATGGCAGAGAGAACGCAGGACTCGCTTCCATCCAGCACCACTCCGGGTCTGAAAGAAAAATCTGAAAGTCAGAGACTACAGAATTGTGCCTGTACGTCCCCAAGCCCCCTGCCCCAAATTTTGCATTTATGCAAAGCTGAACCAACCACTGCAGAAAACTGATATCCTAGAAGATCCCTGCAGGGCCAACAACTTGGCAAATTCAAGCAGGTTCCTCCAATCTTGCACGCCAGTCATCTGCTAGGTACCTGGACTTCCACACTCCCTGTCCTTGACCCCTTGTCCTCAACACTGCCAGCCTGTTTATCCTTCTTCCCTTCTTACCCTTCGACAGCTGTTGCTTGTGAGATCTATGAGCAGTGCCTGCTCCTGAGTGCCACAGGAGCCAATGATAGGAGTCCTGGCAGAGTCCCAGTCGGTGTGCTCCAACCTGTGTTGAGAAAAAAAGAAGGCTGGCATTGATTCACGGCAGGTGAGGCTGATAAAGGGAAGTCTTCCCAGTCATCCTGCCCCACAATGCAGCCTGGGAGACTTGCAGCAAAGGCTGCACCCAAAGCCCTGTCCCCTACAGGGACTGTACCAGCAGATACGTGTCTCTCAGGAGCAGTAAAGGTGATGATAACTCGGGACCAGCAGTTAGCGTAATGGCTATGTCACTGGACTCCCACGTAGTTGACCGTGGTTCACGTCCCGGACCCAGTGGCTTAAACTCACGCCGGGCACGTGTGCGTGCATGCCCAAGATCCTGAGAGGAGAATGGAGAAGGGATTGCGGTGTGGCCATCCCCCCTGGGGGGTGATTTCTCGCTTTCTATCTATATCTGTCTGGCGAGCGCACGCACCCTATAGCAAAAACCTCTAAAAAAAAAGGTGATGATAACTACCAGGACCTGACTGCCTATTCTGTAGCAGGTGCTGGGCTGGGTGCTTTACACACATTCTTAATCCTCAGGTTTTGAGGCTGGTGCTATTATCATCAAAGTAAGCAGGAGGGAAAGAATGTAATATCCTGGCTTGTCTTTAAACCTCAAACTCTTTTTCCCCACTACACTACATCTGACTCAGAGACAGGCACTAATTTATTTTATAAAGACTCATAGACAAAAGCATCAAAGAAAGAGTTTTACAGTTTCTAGAATCCAATTGTTCCTAGAACCCAGCTGAATTGGCAGCCTCTAATTCTTCTTTTGTTTCACTTTTTACTCATTTGCTTATTATTTAATACTAGAACTTCTCCATTTAATGAAGAAGCTGCTATTACCCATCTAATAGTTTCTGACAAAAACAAAAACTGTAACAAAGAAACTGCAGGTAACACAGCACATATTATCAAGATTTTAATTATATGGATTTCCCCCTCCCCCCTTCTTTATTTGGAGAGGTTTTTGCTATAGGGCGTGTGCGCTCACCAGAAAGACAGAGAGAGACAGAGATAAATCACCCCCCAAGAGGGAATGGCCACACCACAATCCCTTCTCCATTCTCCTCTCCGGATCTTGGGCACACATGCACAGGTGTCCAGCATGAGTTTAAGCCACCGGGTCTGGGACTTGAACCATGATCGACTACATGGGAGTCCAGCGACATAGCCATTACAATATCTGCTGGTCCTGGGATGCCCTTTTTAATGGGGAAGGGGAAACTCATGTTTTCTCCTTATGAACAGTAAGGAGACTGACATCTCTGACTCTCTTTGCAAGTCACCTTGTTTTCTCCAAGAGAGAAGGAATACCTTAATCTGATTTGTAATGCCAGAAAGAGAAACCAAACATGTACAGCCTAGCTCCTTCCTGACAGTTTTTCTCTTGAGAGCCAGGTGACTACAGAGTATACCCGCTGCCTGTTCCTCCATGTGGTAATCCTTTCAGACTAGACTTGATTTTGAACAGCATGGTCTACCCCTGTGGAGGTCAGGCTGTCAGCTGCTGTAGGCTGGGCTGAGAGAAGATGAAATGTCTGTAGGTACCGGTGAGTCCAGATGCATTGGCTGCTTTTACACCACAAGGCCGGAGGTCCAAATGCACCACAGAGGACAGCAAAAGGGCAGTACCTGGCCCAAGCAGGGAGCACTGAATTAGCTACTCCAATTTCCATTCTGCATCAGGGCCAAAGAAGAAATTGCAGAGAGGCTACACATGGATTCATGTGGCTTATCCACAGGCTTGGGAGTCACCCTACACCACACAGTCTCAAGTTGGCCTGGGCCAGGTTAATTACATATGGGGAGACTAAGCTCCCCAAGGGCCAGGTTTCACAGGCCTAAACAATTCTCTAACACGTGGAAGAGAAACAACTGTGGGTGCAAGGTCTCAAAATGCTCAGCACAGACAACAAGATGTGACACAAAACTGTTATGTTCCTACAGAGTCCACCCTTAACGCTGCATGCCAAGTCCCAAATGGGTGATAAATATTGAGAAATTGTGAATATGCTGGATGGAAAAGGAAGGAATCTCAAATAGGATCTACTCCCTGGGACTGCTAATCCTGCCACGTAAATTTTCTAAGAGGGCATTACCATCACAAATATCATTCTCTAAGGAAAGAGACAATATACAAAGGTGACTTTCCCCCAGATACAATACAAGTGTCCATGCAAAGGCACTTCCAGCAGCAAAACACTTGTAGCTACTTGCTACCCTTTCACACAGTGAAGCTCTTGACTGATGAGTTGGGAATAAGCCCCTGAGGATATGCAGCTCTGTAGCTCGGCCCTTCCAAATCACACACAGAACAAACTGCCCACAAGCACAACTCACTACTACTCCAATATTCTAGCTTGGCAAGAGCAGGTTCTATGAGGAAAACCTGCCCTGGCCCAGTAGTCTTTTAATATTATCTTTATAAAGTTATATTTTAATCTCCTATACATATAAATCAGAAAATAATATTTCAGGGGCTGGCTGGTGGCAAAGCAGTAACAAAACTGGGCCCATATGGAAAAGGTCCTGGGTTCGTATCTCAGGCCCTCCCTGAGTATGCCCATTACCCAGGCTGGCTAAGACTGCGCATAGATTGTGGTATGAAGACTCTGTTGGGGGTGTTTCTACCTCTTGTAGGAGATAAATAAACTTAAGAAAAGAATTCAGTTGATTCAGATCTCAGGGAATGAAGTTGCCATTTATTTGGCCCTCTGAAGACCTAGACACCCACCTCATATAGTTATTGCTGAAATGAATTAAGGTATCTTTCAGAGCTTATTTCCTATCATATAACCATCATATGAAATAAGCTATCAGTAAATGGTAGCTATCATTATTATTCTCGAGGGACAATTGCTTTGGAAAAGTCCAGTCCTCCTAGACTCCACAAGTGCAGTGTTCTCTTGGATGACCACAATGATATCTCCAGAGAAAGTAATATTTTGGGGTGGTGGTGGTGGTGGAGATTTTTGCTATAGGGCACGTGAGGTCACCAGAAAGACAGAGAGAGACAGGGAGATAGAAAGTGAGAAAACACCCCCCAGGGGGAATGGCCACACCGCAATCCCTTCTCCTCCATTCTCCTCTTGGGATCTTGCGCACGCATGCAGATGTGACCGGCATGAGTTTAAGCTACCGGGTCCAGGACTCGAACTGCAGTTGACTACATGGGAGTCCAGCAACATAGCCATTACGCCAACTGCTGGTCCCGAGAAAGTAAGATTTTAACTATCCTAATTTGGCCACTGAAATGTACACAATTATGATGAGAAAGACCAGAGGTGAATAGAGGCCATCTCCCTCCACTTTTACCGCCTGATCTGTTCCTCAGCCACAGACAGGGCATTCTCAGCAGCAGCCCTCTGGTCTCGTTCTTCTTCCAGCAGCTTCCTTAATTCATTCACTTCCTGTTTAGTGTTGCACAGCTGCTGCTGGGTTTCAGTAAAGCTTCAGGATAAAAGGAAGACAAACAGCATCACTGGATGCAAAGCACAGCTACTAATACAAGGGATTCAAATTCCACTTAAGGTTATAAAGTAGAAAAAACTACTGGGTTGTTGGAAGTCATAATGTATTTTTTTTCTGTTTTTCTATGCAAAAATGCATTGTAACTTTTCCGACAACACTACAGAAGCTTGTCTGAACACAAAGAATATTTTTAAAGCATAGCCATAGATTACATAAAACTGCAAAAAAAAAATAAATAAAACCCTTAAGTTTTGGAGATTGACTTACTATCTTTCATTTTAATACCATGGAGTGTCTGTTAGTGATATGTATGCTAATGTTGCTATTTTTGCTTCCCAAACTTTTTTCTTTTTTCCAAATTTTTTATTGTTATTGTTCCGCTTTAGTCTTCATCGATCAGTAAGATAATAATAAAATCCATACAATGGACTCTAGTTCACTCTAGATTACCAACCAATTTCTGTACATGGAGTGTGTGCTCCAGGGCTGAGTCCTGCTCCCCTACCTTCGCTGTGACTCCCCCAGGGCCTCAGGATCACTCTTTCTGTGAATGCCGCTCTTTTCCTGGGGAGCTCCAGGAGCAACATCTATATTTAGCGGCCCCTAGAAGAAGCAACAGCTTAGTAATTCAGTGGTCAAAGTATACTCAGGCAAAAAGAGAACACGTTTGATATAGAGACAACGAAGAATGTTGAAGAGGACTATTCTTGCTCATAATTCTTCTTAAGTCCTGATTTAGAAGTGAGAATTTTCTGCCCTAGTAGATCCAACTGCCTATACAAAAATCTTGCTTTGGGGAGTCAGCAGGTGGCATAGTAGTTAAGGTGCTACTGGGTTGTCAGAAAAGTCATGACATTTTTCTATGCAAAAATGTATCATGATTTTTCCAATGAAAAACACACCAAGTGCATGTGCATGTGTAACCAAACTCCTGAGAGGAGAAGAGATTGTGCTTGACCACCCCTCTGGAGATGATTCCTCACGTTCTCGCTCTCTCATACGGTTGCTCTCCAGTGAGTGCACATGCCCCATAGCTAAAATTTAAAAATAGGAAAAAGAACAAACTCCTTCCTTAGTTAATTTTTCACCCAGTTTTCATTCTTGAATTTCTCTTCTTAAAAGTTTAAAACCAGAGGCCACCAGGTGGCACCATGGCTAAGGTACTGGACTCCCAAGTGATCATCTGTGGTTCAAGTTCCAGACCTGGTGGCTTAAAATTCATGACAGGCATGTGCGCATGTGTGCCCAAAATTCTGAGAGGAGAATGGAGGAGAAAGGATTTTGGCATGGCCATCCCCCCAGGGGGTGATTTCTTGCTTTTTGTCTCACAGTCTCTCTTTGAGTGCACACGCCCTATAACAAAAATCTCTCAAAAAAGGAAAGTTTAAAGCTTTACTTTAGAAGTCTCTTTCTTTCAGTAGACGTTCATGGATTTTCCAGAAGCTATTCTGATCCCTCCCTTGCTCACCAACCCCTTCCAAGCCTGCAGTCCAATTAATCTCCATTCTAATGTTCAGTCTTCTCTTGACTTTAACACTGTACTCTTCTCTCCTACTGTCAATAATTCTGTCTGTTTTATTTCTCAGGTCCAAATATCCCTGCAAGTTTTTATTAAAGTATAAAATGATCATTTTTTAGTTTCAGAGTTCCAAAACTTCAGCCATCACTGTTTCCCTACTCACGTTTTGATTTCTTCTTTTTTCTTTTCTTTTCTTTTTTTTTTCTTTTTTTCAGTTTTGCTATAGGGCACATGCACTTGCCAGAGACAGACAAGCAAGTGAGAAATCACCCCCTGGGGGGATGATCACACCACAATCCCTTCTCCTCCACTCCTCTCTCAGGACTTTGGGTATGCATGCACACACATCTAGCATGAATTTTAAGCTGCCAAGTCTGAGACTTGAATGATGCAATCAGCCCTATGGGATCCAGCTGCCTTAACCACCATGCCACCTGCTGGTCTGCACATTTTGATTTCTTGCTTAACATCTCACTGGTCATTTTACTCCTAACTCTGTAATTATTCTGAGACTTTAGTCCCATCTCAATACTTTCCTCGTCTCTCCCACTTTGTTCCACCTCACCTGATTACTTTAGCCTCTCAATGCTGTTCTCTATGCTTTATGCACTCAGTTTCATCACACTTCTCCCCATCTCTCGGCACCTCCTTACTCACCGTCTGCAGCTCTTGGACTTGTTTCTCCAAGACTGCGCAGTGATTAAAAAGGTCACTGTAGTGCTGCTGGCTCTCGCGAAGACTCTGATTAGTATCACAGAGCTGAATGGAAAGGGTGTTTTTCTCTTCGAGTAGCTGAGAGAACTGTAATAGAGGAGAGGAAAAGCAACACCCAATAGAACTGTAGGCAGGGAAACTGCTTATGAAACTCAGGCTAGGCACCAGCAGATGAGCAGATGGCACAATGGTTACGTTGCGGTTACATTGCTGGACTCCCACAAATTCGACCGTGGTTTGAGTTCAAGACAGGGCATCTTGGGACCAGCAGTTAGCATAATGGCTATGTCACTGGACTCCCATGTAGTCAACCATGGTTCAAGTCCTGGACCTGGTGGCTTAAACTCACTCTGGGCACGAGCATGTGCGTGCCCAAGATCCCGAGAAGAGAATGGAGGAGAAGGGATTGCATCATGGTCATCCCCCTCAGTGGGGTGATTTCTCACTTTCTGTCTCTCTGTCTCTCTGGCAAGTGCATGTGCCCTGTAGCAAAAACCTCTCCAGGAAAAAAAAAAGACAGGGTGGCTTAAAACTCATGTGGGGTGTGTGTGCATACATGCTTAAAATCCTGAGAAGAGACTGGAGGAGAAAGGATTGTGGTGTGGCCATCCCCCTTGGGGAGTGATTTCTCGCTTTCTGTCACTCTGGTGAGCATATATGCCCTATAGCAAAGATCTCTTTAAAAACAAACAAACAAACAAACTCAGGCTAACTGTCCCGAGTTTCAAGAGTCTAATTTTGTTTATGCGAGAGCATTACTTCAACAGCAACAATAGCACTGTGTTCCTTCAAAGTGAGAAAGTTGAATAAATTTTTTTGACCAAGAAAGACAAAATTCTAGAGGAGTAGCAGAAAACATTTTTTATGGTACCTAGTACCTTTTCTGAAAATCATGAAGCAGAAACTCAAAAGCAACTTAACAGGATAGGCTATTCTCAGTATGTAAGAGGAGAACAAGCAGTGGGTCCAAGTTTAAGTTACTAAGAAATAACTATAGAGAGGCCAGCTGGTGGCATGGTGGTCTAGATGCTGGACTCCCACAAGGCTGACTGCGGTTCAAATCCCAGACCTGGTGGCTTACTTTCTCACCTTCTCTCTCTCTGTCTCTTTCTGGTTAAATTTTAAAAATAATAAAAATAAATTAAGTAATTCTATTTTTAAAAAGAAAGAACGAACTATAATCCCTAAACCTTGACATGGCTAGAGAAGGAGCTGTCACCTCAAAATCTGTATAATAATATTATTGGGCAGCTTCTTCAATATCATAGAGTCTTAAATTACAAAGAGAGGAGAATAAATAATAATATGTGGAAGGAGGGAGACACAGATTTTTTTATTTTTAAGAGAGAGTTTTGCTACAGGGTGTATGTACTCACTGAAGAGAGAGACAGAATTCACCCCCAGGAGAGATGGCCATGCTGCAATCCTTTTACTCCATTCTCCTCTTGGGACTTTGAGCACACATGCCCAGCCTGAGTTTCAAGGTACCAAGTCCAGGATTCAAACCAAGGTCAGCCATGTGGGAGTCCAGTGCCTTAACCACCATGCTATCTGCTGGTCTCCCCATTTTTAAAATTTTATTTATCATTATTATTATTTTATTAATTTACTACAGGGCATGTGTACTTACCAGAGAGAGACAGAGAGACAGAGAGAGGAAAGTGAGAATGTAAGCTGCTAGGTTTAAGACTCAAACTGCTGCTGGCCATGTGCAGTTCAGCCTCCTAATGCCCATGCCAACTGATGCCCAGAAATAGAAAAATTCCAACATGCCTATGTGTATGTAACCAATTGTACTGGGAATCTAGATTCTCAGAGGTGGGAATATTTCATCCACTCAAAGCAGGACTCTCCCCTACTGTATAAGGAATAGGTCACTAAGACTTTCCTTAAACGTGTTGATTGAAGATGCTCACTACCGGGACCAGCAGTTGGCGTAATGACTATGTCACTGGACTCCCATGTAGTCGACTGTGGTTCGCGTCCCGGACCCAGTGGCTTAAAACTCACGCCGGGCGTGTGTGTGTGTGTGCCCAAGATCCCGAGAGGAGAACAGAGAGGAAAAGGGATGGCAGCGTGGCCATCCTCACTGATTTCTCGCTTTCTGTCTCTCTGTCTGTTTGGCGAGCACATGCGCCCAAAGCAAAACAAACAAACAAACAAACAAAAAATCTCTCAAAAAAAAAAAGATGTTCATTACCTGGCAAAGCAACCTAAGTCATCATTTTTCATGTAAAAAATAGAATTGTTTTCATATTGAATAAAAAAATTTACCCATTATAGTTTCTAAAAATTGATTAGAATTTGGTACTTTGGAACTATAATTCTAATTCTTCACTTACAGGTTGTGAAGTGTTGAGTAATGATTTATATACAAATACCTTGATAATCAGAGATATCTCTACATACAAAGTACCTATTATAGGACTATGTCATTCTATAAGAGAAAATTGGCGTACCTGGCTGTATGTTTGATCTTTCCTCTTAAAAACATCTTTTTTCTTTTCTTTTCTTCTTATTTTATTTATTTTTTTTTTTGGAGAGGTTTTTTCACTATAGGGCGCGTGCGCTCGCCAGACAGACAGAGAGAGACATAGAGACAGAAAGCGAGAAATCACCCCCCAAGGGGTATGGTCACACCGCAATCCCTTTCCCTCTGTTCTCCTCTGGGATCCTGGGCATGCACGCACACGTGCCCAGCGTGAGTTTTAAGCCACCGGGTCCGGGACGCGAACCGCAGTCAACTACGTGGGAGTCCAGCGACATAGCCATTATGCTAACTGCTGGTTTCCTTAAAAACATCTTTTTAAATGCATTTTTGTTTTATTCATGAGAGAAAGTGCACGAGAGAGAGAGGAATGCCTTAGGCAGGGTCCCATCACACAACAATTCCCTAGCTCTCCAGTTCATTATGATTTTGGGAGCATGCACACTGGAATATTTTCAGATCAACCGAGGATCCAAACCCACAGCTGGCCATGTGACTTCCAGCACTATAGTTTACCATGTTACTGACTACCTAACTGAAGTTGGGTCTTGGTCATTTGTTTGGGGTTCTTTTTCACAAATATATGTGTAAAAAAGTTGAATCAAAAATGTTTTAGAAAACAGAAGATGAGTTTTCAAGAGATGCTCTAGGGGTACCAGCAGGTTGCGTGGTAGTTAAGGGGCTGGATTCTCCCACCTGGCTGACAACAGTTTAAGTCCTGGACTTGATGGCTTGCTTTCTTACTTTCTCTATCTCTGGTCAAATTAAAAATAAATGAATGAATAAACAAAATTTTAAAAATAGGAGAGAGATATTCTAGGGAAGGGCATTTGATACATACATAAAATGAAAAAAAAAATCCACATATACTTGTAAAAGTGCCATATGCGCTAAAAATGGCTCTTCAGAAAGATAAACATAAAAAGTAACCTTACATCTGAAGAGCAATTTTCAGCTTACAAAGTATTTTAACAAGTATCATCTTATTTGAGAGGTAGAGAAAGAATTTCTGGCCTCATTTACAAACAGTAAACAAAAAAGGAATGAGTGGTGAGTGATTTACCCAAAGTCATGTGGCTAAAGCAAATGTCAGATGAACACTCAAGTGTGGTACTTGATTCCAAATCTAAAGCTCTACCTGCTACCTGATGGTGTCCCTTCTGAGAGTTGAGAATAGGGAGGTAGGTCACAGATTAGAGGTGGGGTTGTGAGGTTAGTTAGTATAAAAAGGATATAAATATTTGAGAATAATAGTAATTTGAGACAAAGGCAACTAGGTACAATGACTACTACTGGGTTTTTAGGACGAGAGTAACGTGATCCTCTCCTAACATAGGAAGAAGGTAATTTTCCTAGCCACTAAGAGCAAACCATAGCAAACCAAACCAAACCAAACAAAAAATCTTTCACTGTTGAAAAAATCCTAACACTTATCCTTTGCAGATCTAGAAGAGAAAAAACAAACCAATACAACTTATTAACTGGGTAAGTCTAATTGCTTATAATAGGCTGCTCATATATAAGCTATCTTTTATATTTGTGTCATTCTGTCTAAGATAAACACAGGCCCCTACGGAGGGTTGGCAAACCACAATCTAGGGCCTGATGCCCTTTTACTGTAAATGAGGTTTAGCTGGAACACAACCACCCCATTCGTTTATCTATTGTCTATTCTGCCTTTGTCTACAACTGCAGACATAAGTAGTTGTAATAGAGACCAAAAGGTGTGCAGATCTAAAATATTTCCTGTCTGGACTTTTAAGAAAAAGTATGCTGACATCTGCTCTAGCTCATAAGCTCCTGTATTTAATTGTGGCTACCTTTGTGAAAGCAAAATATGATAGAATAATCTAGACTACATCATACCACTGATCATCCCTCTCATGTTTTTTTTTTTTCTTTTGGAGAGGTTTTTGCTATAGGGCACGGGCGCTCGCCAGAAAGAAAACGAGAAAGCAAGAAATCAACCCCCCTCAGGGGGTATGGCCACGCTGCTATCCCTTCTCCATTCTCCTCTCGGGATCTTAGGCACGCACACACATACACGCCCGGTGTGGTTTAAGCCACCAAGTCTGGGACTCAAACCGCAGTCGACTACATGGCAGTCCAGCGACATAGCCATTACGCCAACTGCTGCTCCCTCTATTTATCTTTTTGCTTATAGTTGTATAGACAAGAAACTGAATTCTAATCTAGCAGGAAATACTTACTTTGCTGTTCAGTTGCTGAATCCGTAATTCCTTTTGGTGAATTTCCTTTAAGCTGTCATTGAGCTGAGTCCTGAGAAGTTCTGTTTCATAAACTAGGTTTTGTGACCCATCGAGGGAAGCTGATGTCTCTGGGGATGCCTGCCAGGACAGATATTGATGAAATTCTCTCTTATGTTGCACATGCTTAATTCCTTCCCACTAGAAATTCTGTTTACTCAAAAAAGTCATAAGATGGTCTGCCTAATTGTAAAAGATGGGCACCTCACTTACAGGAGGCTCTCGGCTTCTGAGTAGCAGTTACTCTAAGCAGCAATATACTGAAATTACTCACCTGTCTTTGGTATTGCACTTGGAGGGCCTGAGTCTGGGCAGAAGATGATTTGAATTCCCTCAAAAGATTCTGTAGATGACTGAGCTGTTGATCTTTATCTGAAATAGCTATAAGATATTGCTCTTTCATCCTCCTCTCATGAATTTCCCAGGAATTCTTCTCCATCCTAGAAAAAAACATGAAATAACCACAGGTAAAAATGTGCTGGCAGGTGGCATGGAGAAGGCACTGGACTCCCACATGGCTGACACAGTTTAAGTACTAGATCCAGAGGCTTGAAAATCAAGCCAGGTGCATGTGCATGCATGCCCCCAAATCCTGAGGATGGAGAATGGCCATCCCACTTGGGAGTGATTTCTCACTTTCCCTCTCTCTGTTTCACTCTGGTGAGGATATGCACTCTATGGAAAAAAAAAAAAAAATCCTGTGCACTCAGATGGCCTTAAATTCCGTGGTCAGCATTAATGTGCAACTGAAGGAGGACATGCTAAGCACCTAACTTCTTGATGATAAATTGAAATTCTTAATAGAATAAAGCTAGGGCAGGATTTTTTTTTTTTTAATGATGCTGAAATAGAGCAATTTATATTTTCTCTTGAAGTTCAATTCCAAAATGAAAAAAACAGTAGAAATTTTTATTTCCAGAAAGCAAAACTTGTTTTTTTTTTTTTGTACTGTTTTGTTTTACCTTCTCTGCAGTAACTGGAGAATCTGGTTTAAAAATATGTTCTTGTATTATCTGGAGAAGCTGCTGCTCCATACAGGAAGCACTTATTACCAAGGCCATAAAGAAGTTAAAAATATTTCTGATGTAATTTTATATCATAAAATTTAAATCACTAAATTCCAAAAAGTGTTTCTACTCTATACACTTTGCTAAAAGGTTTATTCTGAAATATGAAGTCAGTAAGGTACATACTTGAAAAGAAAGAAATCTCCTGTGTTTGCACATTTAGAAATCTTAGAGATGTTACAATATTTAGTTTACTAGATTGACAGCTGCATCCTAGTAGTCCTTTGTTTTTTTCCTTTTTATTTATTTATTATTTTTGTTATAGGGCGCATGTGCTCGCCAGAAAGACAGAGAGAGACAGAAAGACAGAAAGCGAGAAATCACCCCCCAGGGGGAATGGCCGCACCACAATCCCTTCTCCTCCATTCTCCTCTTGGGATCTTGGGTATGCATGCACATGTGCCTGGCTTGAGTTCAAGCCACTGGGTCCGGGACATGAACTGTGGTCGATGACATGAGATCCTAGCGAGATAGCCATTACACTAACTGCTGGTCCCTCCTAGTAGCCCTTTGTAAGCTGAAAGGAACTAAGACTCCACTTTATTTTCTCTGTATGCATCTGCCCTTGTCCTCTAGCATTTGTTAAGACAAAGCAAGCACTGCTTGATCAGTAGCACTTTCCAATATGAAGATTCTCCTTTTAGTATCAAATCTTGAAAGCTTTAAGTTTGATTTTATTGGGACCAGCAGTTAGCGTAATAGCTATGTCGCTGGACTCCCACATAGTCAACCGCGGTTCGTGTCCCGGACCCAGTGGCTTAAACTCATGCCGGGCGCGTGTGTGTGCGTGCCCAAGATCCTGAGAGGAGAATGGAGGAGAAGGGACAGCGGCGTGGCCATCCTCCCTGGGGGGGTGATTTCTCGCTTTCTATCTCTCTGTTTCTGTCTGTCTGGTGAGCACACATACCCTAAAAACCTCTCCAAAAAAAAAAGTTTGATTTTATTGAAGTGGTAAGCACTATCTTAAGTTAAACAATAATAATGTCCCAATGACGAAGCTGCAATAACTGACCTTTTTTTTAATATTAAATGTTTTTTCTTTACCTTTATTCTTCAGATTAAATACAACTGAATTAAAAAATAGAATTATAGATCTTATCTTAATTTGGCATTATCATGCATGAAAAAGCCAATCTCAAAAGTTACATACTACATGACTCATAAAATAGCCTCAAAACAGAAAAATTATAGATGAACACACCAGTGGTTGCATTAGATTGTGGTTACAAGGGTGAAATGGGGGAAGAATTAACTATCGACAGTAGGCACAGGGATATATTTTTGATGATAGGAACCGTTCCGTATCTTGGTTTTGGGGGTCCTAACCTGAATCTACACAGGTGATAACCACACGCATACTCAAATAAGTACACGTAAAACTGGTGGAAACAGTAAGGTATGTGAATTGCGCCATGTCAGTGTCCTGGTTTTGATATGATACTCAGTTATGAAAGAGGTCACCATTGGTGGAAATGGGATAAAGGGTACATAGGGACTCTGCAATTTTTGCACCTTTCTATAAATATACAATTATTTCAAAGTAAAGTTAGAAGATGAAAACATAGGGTTGAAAAATAGGGATGATCATACCTGAGCTGATGCAGCTCATGCTGCCAGGTGAGGTTTTCCTGCCTGAGTTCTTCTTGCATAATCTGAAATGTTTTTGTCTTATCTTGATACTCCTGAAGTTGAGTCTTCAGTGGGCGTAACTCAGTGATCTCTTGATTAATCTGTAAATATTGCTGTTGCAGATTCTTCAGTTCCTTTAGCTTTAACCGAAGGAAGTAAAAAGTGATTCATCACATCTCACTCACCCAACTATTAGACGTCAGTAGCTCCTGTCTAAGTCAGAAGCCACAACAGACAACCAGCATCTACCAGTCCATTGACATAGCACTGTAGCATAAATCTCTAAAATGATTAAATACAGCAGCCAGACTGGTGACAGACAGCTAGCTCCCCACAGAGCTGCCACTAAGGCTATACAGCCTGACCTTTCCTGTAACTTCAACTCCTTCCTCCCCACTAGCCCTGAGGCGCTAAACTGACTCTAGAGCTACAACTCTGATATGGGATAGATGTTAAGAGATCTACAGTTTCATGGTGGTTAGTAATCTATCCTAAACCTGAAGTGTAAAGATGAATTGGCTTTTTATTTAGTCATGTCCCCTAGTTAGGCTTCTAAACTTTCTTACACGGCTATCAATCTTAACTCTATCTTAGCTGGTGCTCGATATAAAGGCAGTGCTACCCAGGGGTTAAGGGCACCAAGGCTCTGGAGTTAAATATTCTACTTTTTGGATGTCTGATTCTATGTATGTTCCTCACATCTCCTAATTTTAATTTCTCTCGCCTATGAAATAAAGACAATTATATTACCTTTTTCATATGGGAATTACATGAAAAAAATCAATGTGCTTTACACATAAAGCTAGTGATGATAGGCATGCCTTTAATTAGTAAACTACCTATCTACATTCCAAGCCATTTTTATCCCCAATACTCATTAAAGGCTTAGTAAAAGAAATAGTATCAAGACATCTGGGCAAGCTGGGCCTTGCATGCACACCTCTTTCTCTAACTCAGAAACATCGTGAAAGCTACAATAAAGGCTTTTTAAAAAACAAAAACAGAGACATAAAACATAACAGGAAGAACAACGGAGGAGTCTGCAGCAATAAAATTAATTTTGGAAGCTGAAAGGCAGATGATGATAAGTGATAACTGACTTAATAGATCTGAGAAAGCAGAATCTTAAGCTGGCAGTGGGAGAATCCAAGAATCAATAGAACTTACTCTGCAGAACTTCAAATGGTTCAGGAATTAACAGCACCAGGTACTCTAGAAAAGATGGTGATGGGATGGGAGGGAAGAGGTAGCTGAGATACAGAGGATTAGATGCAGGCTACTTAAAAAACAACCCCTAGACTGCCTCCTTAGCTCCACATTCATTGTTATTCCAACAGACAACTAGAATTTTATTCTCTGAAGAAGGTAAAAGAAGTGTCTCTGTACGACAAAACACCAGGCACAGTTTCAAGTAAAGGTACTATTCCAAAACAAGGGTGAACAAGTGAATGATGCTTTCTGAATGCTTGCAGCTTTTCCCCTACTCACTTTGGAAAGGGCTGGTAAAAGGCCTTTTATTTTCACATAGGAAATGAGAAGTCCAAATGAAACTCACAGCTGTTAATCTTTACCGGCAAACTTTTTAACCTCTACCCTTAAACATAGAGAGTAAACTGATTAACCTCCTAAAGTATGGCTAACATGAAGTAGATGAAAGTACTTGATGTAGATGAAATTAACTTGCAAGAGATGGGGGGGGATGTACTCAATGCACTCAAAGATTAAAGAATTGGAAATGAGAAACATTATAGCAGAAATAATTACAAAGAAAAAACATTATAGGAAAACTTCAAAAACAAAATGACCACCACTATCCTTGGCAAGACAAGAAAATGAATTCATAAGACAAGAAAAAAAACAAAAAAAAAGAGAAAGAAATCCTTAGTAATTAAAAACAAGATGGCAAAAGTAAAAGGTGAGTATGGGCCGAGATGCAGCAGTAGTGCAATGCTCCATGTTGCTAAAGTCATATGGGAAGGTCTTGAGTTTGCACATTAAGGTCGTCCTTTATGTGACTGACATGCATGTATGCATGTCCATGACCCAAGCTGGCTGAGGGTGGGGATGTATCACAGTGTGAAGACCCCATTGGAGGTGTATGTCTGCCTGTCTCTTGAAAGCAATAAATAACAAACTTAAAAAAAAAAAAGATGAAGATAAGAAATATCTTCCCTTAAGTACAGGGAAAAAAAAGTGGAAAAGATAAGAAAATTGGGGAGTCAATCCAGAAGGTCCTACTATACATCTAAATAACAAGATTTTCAGGGAAAAAAAGACAACAGAGAAAAAGGATGGTAAAATATAATTCAAAGGAATTTCCAAAAATTGATGAATATGACTACTTAGACTCAAAAGATTAGTCAATGTGACAAAGGAAAAGACTTACACCGAATCATATTATCATTTAACTTCAGAACAAGGGGAGGAGAGAAAGATGGAGGAAGAGCAGGAAAGAAGAGTAAGAGGGAGAAACACATCACATTCAAAGGGTCAGAAATCAGAATAGCTTTAGACTTGTGAACTACAATGTAAGTTAAAAGGCAATAAACCAATGTCTTCTCAGTTTTGAAGGGAAATTATTTTCAGCTTAGAATTCTACACTCAACCAAACTACCAATCAAGTATGAGAGATGAAAAGAGGGTTTTTTTACTTTTTTTTTTTTTGGAGAGGTTTTTTTGCTATAGGGCGTGTGTGCTCGCCAGACAGAGAGAAAGAGACAGAGAGACAGAAAGCAAGAAATCACCCCAGGGGGGATGGCCACGCCACCATCCCTTCTCCTCCATTCTCCTCTCGGGATCTTGGGCACGCACACACACGCGCCCGGCGTGAGTTTTAAGCCACCGGGTCTGGGACATGAACCGCAGTCGACTACATGGGAGTCCAGCGACATAGCCATTACGCCAACTGCTGGTCCAGAGAGATGAAAAGAGTTTTTAAAAAATGTTTCCAAAGGACACATGCAGATATCAGAGAGAGAGAAAGAGAGAGACAGAAAGCATTCCCCTTAATGGCTGTGATCACACTGAAACCCCTACTCCTCCATTTCTCCATCCTGTCAGGATTTGGGGTACACACACATATGCACCAGGAGTGCTGGAATTCAAATCGCATGGATGGACATGTGAGATCTGGCTTCCTTAAACACCAGGCTCCCTTAAACACTAGAGCCAGTCCCATGTATCTTTTCTTAGAGAACTACTAAATTATCTGTTTTGAGGAAAATATAAGTAATACATCTCAGTTCTAAGGGCATTGCAGTCATAAAAAATGTAAACACTAAATTGATTTAACCAAAATTAAAAATTAAATTACATTAGAAGAATGGGGATAAGAATGTGCCTAAGTCCTGCAGAAACAGAGAGTAAATAGAACAAAATGCTGTTAGCATAAAGAAAGCCAATAATTAATGCATCAATGAAAGGTTAAATGTAATATAAGCATGATATTTAGACAGAGGAAATACCAAAAGACTACACTAAAAGAGCTGAAAGCAAATTGCCTATAGGAAGAAAGGGGGTTGGGAATGCTACATTTAGTTTTTCCTGCCAAACAATGTAGAATTTAGTGGCTAATCGAATATGTACAATATAAACTTTTACTTTTTAATCCAAAACTAAAAACTCTTTTTGTTTTAATTTAAAGCAAAACTTATACATCCCTTATGTAGTCCACTCATTCCTCTACTCTGCATACTCTAAATATACTCAGAATAGATCAGATTATCAGAAAGCTGTGTCTGGGATCACATTTTAACCCCTTGCAGTGGAACTTTCAGTGAAATGGATACAGCTCTTTTAGCATGCACTTACATCAGGTGACAGCTAAATAAAAAAGTAGAAAACACATTATTACATTTACTGAAGAGAAATTAAAAAAATGTTTCATAACTACATAGTGTTCTCTTTATGGGAACACAGAAGAAATTTCTTACAGGCATCAATACATAAAGCATAACTATCCTTATCTTGAATAAGTAATTTTTCTTTCTTCTTTTCTCCTAAAATGTGGACATTGCAATTCAAGCACACAGTTTTGATTCTTTCTTTCCGATGGCTGCCAGAAAGCTCAGAGTAAATTATGACTTCTCTTTCTAACCAAGAGTACAGGATATCACAACCTTACTCTGGGTTTAATTTTCTGTCCTATCTTTATTTTTTCTTCTAAGTCCCATTTATTATTTCTAATTTTAAAAATTGCTAGGACCAGCGTATGGTGTAATGGTTATGTTGCTCGACTCCCATGTAGTAGATCGCAGTCTGAGTTCTGGACCTGGCAGCTTGAAATTCAGGCCAGGCGCATGTGCGTGCATGCACAAGTTCCCGGGAGGAGAAGGGATTGAGTCATGGCCATCCACCCCGGGGGGTGATTTCTCGCTTTCTGCATCTTTGCCTTACTCTGTCTCTCTTGCAAGCACATGTGCCCTATAGCAAAACAAAAACAAAAACAAAAATCAAAACAAAACAAAACCTCTCTAAAAAATGTTTACATCTTTATATGTAACCCACATTACTTTGCCAATGAGATGAGTACAGATACACATAGGCACGCCTAGAGATTTGCTCTCCACCCTTTAGATAGGCATTGTCTAACTACTTCATTTGACTATGAGGAAGATAGTAAAGAAGTTTGAATAGATATGAAAACTGGAAAAAGTTTTCAGAGTTGCTTAGTAATGCCCTAGTGGAAGCTCCTGGGCTGGCTGGCTGCAGTGGTGCAGCAGTAACACCATGTTCCATGCTAAAGCCACAAGGGAAGGTCCCAAGTTTGCATCCCAAGGTCTCCCTATACTACCAGGTGCACAAGTGTATGCCAGTGATCCTGGCTGGCTGAGGCTGAGAGTGGATCACAGCAGGAAGACTCCAATGCAGAGGTCTGTCTGTCTGTCTCTGTCTCTCTCATGAAAGAAATAAATAAACTTTAAGGCAGCAACAACAAAAAAAGGTAGAATTTCCTAGGCTAATTTTCCATCACCTAGACCTTCAGACTTAATTTGGGAAACTTCCCCTTGACTAAGTAAAGAAGGGAACTAAAGTAATCCAAGCCCCTTTCAAACCTAAATCATGTTTGGATGGTCCTGGGTGGTCATGTCTGAGTGAGAGAGTATAGTATTAGGCAGAGGTATTAAACCACTAGCGTAGGCTGAATATTTAAACTAAGAATGGTTAAAATAAGATATCTCCCATATTTATCCTACATATAGCCAGTGATTGAGATACTAGAAATGGCAAAACCCATTAGATAGCCTGAGAACAAGATATTTGGAAAATAGCAGTTGAAGGACATCCAGGACTATACTCAGAAAATATGCAGAAAGGTTTCAGCAGACTACAGTGGACCATGTATATAATATCACTAAGTCAAATTTATAACCCTTTATGTAATTTATAATCGTGCCTAAACTTTATGATTCTTTCATGACAGACGTAAAGGCCTAAATTCTCAAAACTCCCATGAATGACAGTTTATACAATGGAAAAAACTTTATTTTTTTTCCCTAAAAACCATGAATCCAGAGAATGACCACCTACCACTGATAATCTACCATCTGCTTAGCTACGTGCTAAATATCACTATACAAACAAGTACAAAACATCCTTATTGGGTGTTTGCAAACTAATCAGGGAAAGAAAAATAATGTATAAAAATTAAAACACATGCTTATACATCAATCATGGCAATACAGTTCAAATGACAAGAAAAGTTCTAAGAAAATACAAAGGCAACAGACAATTCAAGCAATCAGGAAATGTAACCAGATGATGTGAGCTGTGGGATGACTTTCAAGTAGTGGGAAATATTCATCCAATACAGAAAAGCAATTTTGAGAACATTTCAGCTGAAAGGTACTTTCTAATGAAGCACCAGATATGATTACTGCATACTGAGTAGATGAGTTTGGCTGGAATGAAGGGTTTGAGTAGAAAGCAGTAAAAGGGAAGGTAGAAAGAAAGGTAAGAATAAATTATAGGGTCTTAGATGCCAGACTAAGGGGTCTGAAGCGTAAGCCTACTCTAAAGAGAGCTCAATTTTTAAAAGTTTTTGAGCAGTGCAGTAACAAGAAAGTAGGGTTTCCGAAAGATTTATTAAGCAATGGTATATACAACACACTGGAGCGATGACGAACTGGAAGTAACATTACTACAACAGTGTGAGGGTAAGGTGTGAAGAGCTCGTTCTAGGAAAATGAAGACAGAAAGATAATTGAGGCACATAGTGAGTAATGGAATAACAGACACTGAGAGTTAAGAAATAAAATCTTAGGTATGAGCTTTGGGGAACAAAAGCATAATACTAAGTTACAGAAACATGTAAATTTAAAAAAAAAATGCTAACTTGGCTTTTAAATACTCGTCAGACAAAAATGTGAAGCTAGGTATGAGAGATAAAAAGTTTACGGGCCTAGTTTTATAATAGATAAAAATGGTAAAGCAGTTCACTGAATGAAATAGTTAATTCAGCATCTATTCTAAAAACTAGCTCCAAAAGACTCACTTAAAAGATGATTAATATCGGGATGCCAAAAATGACAGCTTTGATGCACATACAGTCCTACTGAAATTACATTCTGAAATGTCTGACAAGAAGCCAGGCTCCTCGAAAAAAGTCAGCTAAATTCATTTTTTTTTTCGACTTGCCAGAGTATACATATGTTCACCAGTGAAAGTCAGAGAAAAAGACAGAGAAGGGAAAAAGCACTCTCCAGAAGGGCTTAGTCACAGCCCGATCCCTTCTCTTCCATTTCCCTATCTTGTCAGGACTTTGGGCACAGACACACATGCTCAGCATGTTTTTCAAGCTGCAGGGACCTGAATTTGAACTGCACAGTCAGCCATGTGGGATCTGACTCTGTCAACCACCAGGTCAAAAATCAAGCCTTCAAATTATTTGAAAAATGTAAAATCTACATAAAATATGTTATCAAAACTGTAGCTTAAAAAGTATGCTTTCTTGGGGACCAGCAGTTAGCGTAATGGCTATGTCGCTGGACTCCCATGTAGTTGACAGCGGTTCGCATCACGGACCTGGTGGCTTAGAACTCATGCCGGGCTCGTGTGCGTGCGTGCCCAAGATCCCGAGAGGAGAATGGAGGAGAAGGGATTGCGGCGTGACCATCCCCCCTGGGGGGTGATTTCTCGCTTTCTGTCTCTCTGTCTCTCTCTGTCTGTCTGGCGAGCGCACGCGCCCTATGGCAAAAATCTCTCAAAAAAAACCCAAAAACAGTATGCTTTCTTTCTTTTTTTTGAGAGGTTTTTGCCATAGGGCATGTGGGCTCATCAGACAGACAGAGACATAGAAAGCGAGAAATCAAC